AGAAAGAGGAGAAAGGGATGACCCCGGACCTAAGTCTCCTAAGTGGTTTCACTCGTGGGGTGTTATTATCATTGCATGTACGTGACACGTGTCTGCATTCGGGTTCGTGGCTCCTATCTGGTTTAATTCTCCATCATTGCACCGCATTTCTTGCCCCTGTCATTCTCACGAATGTGTCCGCTGCTCCTCCTAACGAAGTCTGTGCGTCTGTCAACTCCGAGCATCTGATAGTTTCCCAGAAGAAGGGGACCCCAATGTAGACACCAAAATCTTTTCATGCTTATACTGGGGACCCCCAAAATGGTACCCCTAATTTTGGGAAACCTTTCTTCTTGGATCGTTGTAGCGTCCAGCATCAGCATGGCAGAGCCCTTGCCAGCCAGTGTTGTCAGACTCGATGACGGAGGTGCTGTCGGCTTCCATGTTGCTTGAAGGTATATGTGCTGCTGTTTCGGCCTGCCAGGTCGGAGTGAATAAAAGTTGAGTTCAAGGTATAGTCGCCGAATTTCATGATTGTGTTTTCCTGGACCTTGCAGCGGTTTTGCAAATTTCGATATCGGAGAGAGGTTGGCCAAGGTGAGGGTTTGCGTGGAGAGAGATCAGCGTGGAGCGACATCAGTGTACTGTCGTTTGAAGGCTGTGGGTCTTGGTCGCCCGAATGCAAAACAAAAGAGGGACTGTCAAAGCAAGACTCGACACTGCAAAAGTTTATTGTTTGCGATGGTACAGGAACTTGCCGAAATCCGGGATGTCGTGCTGATCAGATTTGATGCTTTCCAGTCAGCCTGCAACCCGAGGTTGTGTTGCTTGCTATGGCGTCCACAAAACAGAGCAGTTCCCCCTTCATGGCGTCATCCCCTTTCGCAGTATCCAAGTTCCCATATGACTCATATGACCTGCAGCCGGCAAGAGCAGGGTACCCATCTTTTCCACTGTCCCTGAACGTTTTCAAGGAGACGAGACAGGTCCAGAACCAAACAGCTTCAGCGAATTCCTCAGGCTTAAAAGCACAAAAGTCAACATTAGCTGTTCGCATTTCTTGGCTCCTGTAGCTTCCAGAGCTGCAAAGTGCGGTTGGCTAAGAGACACATTGTACAGTGTACAGGTTACGAAGGATTTTGCCATGGAGCTTGCTCTCAAGTGCCCAATCAGTCTTGACTTGCTACCCCCGTTTGACGGATGTTATGATGGAACACCAACACTGGCGGACATCAACAGAAGCAGAGGCGCCACTCTTCAAAGCTTCGAAGGATATGATGTATGTGCCATCCGGAGCCGCTGTCAGTATCAAAAGCTTCTCCACTTGCGCAGGTCCGCTAGAGCGCGAACATTGGGGCAAACAGTGCCAAAGGATTGCCAAGCAGCTGTCAGTTCAAGAAAAAACTCGAAGAGATCCTGCTATCTGCATGCCAAAGCAGAAGCAATGCTGGCAAAGCAGACGGCGAGACAGAGGCGTGTCAATACCGCCCATTATAGGGGACTTCGCAGAAAGACGTGGCGCTGCGGCAAAGGTAAAAGAGGATGCGAGCTAAATGTGGAGTGCGCGTTCGAGACTGAGGCTTGCATCTATCATCCTGTTCTTGGAATGTACCTAACGCAGGAGGATGCGGATTGTCTCGGTCTTTGCCTGGACATGGCTTTTGGGGTGCCCTGCCTGGACCAGCCGACCCTATCAAGCCTGATCCCCGAGCAAGAGGCGGTCCAGCGCCACTCACGGACCAAGCTTCCAGACCTTCCACACCGGCAGCGCTTTCAACGCTGGTATCGCGCCTTGGAGATTGCAGAGGAGACTGCTCGCAACTACAAGACCCCACAGTATCCCTGCCGCCTCACTGCATGGCTTCAACAAGCACTTCAACAGTTATGTCCAGGTGATGACTTTGATTCTTTGCGCGCCGAGTTTTTGCATAGTCATGGAAGGAGTGTACTACAGAGCCTCTTGCAAAAGGGGAAGCTGAACATCAGAAGTCTGCTGCCTACACCTTTGTCTACAACCGCTCGCAGGCAATTTCTCCAAAATTACTCTGAAGGCAAGGGGGGCATCTTGCGTCCAACGCTGCATGGCACCAATCTCGTCAACCATGCTTCCATCTTTGAGCGTGGCCTTCTGATCCCTGACCCTTGCAAAAATGGACTGAGGGTGGTGCATGGATCCGCGCACGGTCTGGGCATCTACACTGCTTCCCTGGAGAACCCCTCTCTGGCCCTGGACTTCGTGAGGCCTGCCTGGGGCTCTAAGGCAATACTGCTCTGTGGTGTGGTGGATGATACGAGCTACACGGCCGAACCCAAGAGTTTTGGCGGCCGGGTGTGTCGCCAACAGTCGCCGGATTCTTTCTTCAAACGCTTTATTTTTCTCAAGTGTGAGAAGTTTTTGGCCAAATTCAGAGGTAATCCGTTAACTGTAGCCTGACAAGTCGTTGCAGGTCCACTAACATTCGGGTGGTTGGGGATGCAGTGATTGCACTGACGCCCGACCGCGTGGCTCCTCTCTTCACCGCTGCTAGGGTCTGCTTTGCATGTTGTTGCTGTCAGTATTCTTGAGTTCCAGAACCCTGACTAGAAAACTGCCAACACATGTGGTTTCTACGATTTTGAGCGGGGCATAGGTTACCTATGGAGAGAAACCTGCTCGGGTTGCCACTGTCATGAAGCTGCCGAAGAAGCCATGGCAACAGACCGTGTGGACAAGTCTTGGCCACTTCTTCCGGCATCCTTGGAAGATCCTGCTGGGGACACCCGGCCAAAGCCGACGTCTCAAGCCTGGTGAGGTACGTCGCGCACAGATGGAGTGGGATTCAATCAAGCACCATGGCTCGAAATGGTTGAAAGCACATGGCTATTGGAACGCAGGTGCTGCGGAGGCCTTCTGATCAGCTATTAGACTGATTAGACTGGTATCTGAGCAAGGGGCTTGTACAGATGCACTACTGTAAGCTTGCGGAGTTTTAGGCAATGCATAGATGTATGCAGTCGCCAGATTGGGTGAATGGCGGAAGAAAGGTAGTGACAAGTCACAGCTGCATATAAGGTCATGTGATTAGGACACTTTTCATGGATGTGGTAAGCCTTCGTCTCAGGTTGAAAACATTGGCCCCTAGCATGCGCTCTTAACCCTGGGATCCTTACATACCTACTATGTAGCCATGTAGCCTACATGTCCTTAGAACCCCCTAAAAGGCCTAAGGGCCCATATTAGGGCCATACTTCTAACCTTAGACCTACCTTTTACCCAAAACCTGGACTCTAAACCGCGTTTGACCAGTCTCTGCTCATAGTTCGGTAAAGTGCCCAGAGTTTTCGGACACCTTCCAGGGCGACTTCTACTGAGAGCTTGTACAGATGAGCAACTCCTCAGGTCATGCTGCAGGAAAAATGGGTCTCCCCCAATTGGGATATTGGGGAATGAAAAGGAGAATGGAGACTATTAGCATGGAGAAGCGAATTGAAAAGAACATGGAAAATGAAATGGAACTGGGATAATATAGTGGATTATAGGGAGTAGGGTTTGCCAAAATTAGGGGTACTTTCTTGGGGGTCCGCATGATAAGGATTACATTATTTTTGGGTTTTTATCGGGGTCCCCTATTTAGGGAAACTAACAAATGCCAGGTTGCTTGATGTTACCAGTATTTGTTGTGAGTCGAAGACTACTGCGCCTTTTTGTTGTTTGAAGTTTGTCTTCTCTGCCAAAGTTGCATGGAAGTTGCTGATTTTCTTGCCTTTTCAGGTTCACTGGTGGTGGGTGTTCTAAGAACGCTGCATAAAGTTGCGATTCCAGCTATCCTGCTTAACGTTGCGATTCCACTCATCCTGCTTATAGCCCCACTTGTAACAGCGCGGAAACCTCCAGGCAGCGGTATGCAACAAGGGTTCATAGCACACCTGATTCTCACAAAAGTCTGACAAGAGCTCTTAAGGTGCCTCTTCTGCTTGCACAGGTTGTACTTCAGTAAGTGCTGCGGTGTGTCACGTAGATGTGTGCTTGAATTCATGTGGCAAAGCCTGGGGTTCCGTTAGGGTGGGATTCCCGCATCAGGCAGCGCTTTCTATGCTGGTGCTGGACCTGCGCAGCTTTCGAAAGTAGAGTTTTTCTCATACCCGTTGACACCGAAATATCAAGATTCACATGGAGGGACCGCCAAAATTTGAACTTACAGAGAAAGTCGCAGGTGCACCATTAGCGCATATCTTTTCAGGTGTCTTCGGGCTTTCATTGGGGTAGCTGTTGAGAGAAGGCCGAATGGCGGCCATGTGGGTAAGATTGAAGAATAGGGTCCCTATTTAACTCCAGGAAAAAAGGCCAGTCCTTTCGCCCAGAGGGAACATTCGCGTTGATGGCCTGTAAGTGAATCGAACCTCATATTGATAATAAGAGAAATGCTAGCAATAATATAATAGAAATAAGGAGGAAAGAAGAGTAGTAATAGGGTTCTTCCTAATTCACATGCGACTTGGGCAACAGGTATGTGCTCACGTCTCGCCTGCAGGTCGCAGCTGAACCCCCATCATTTGTTGCGCTTTAGGGTTTATAGGGTTTAGGGTGCTGGAGTTGTAGAAGGAGAAGTGCCTTAAAGAAACCCAACTTAGCTTGGCGATCACAGGAATTCACATACGAGCGCACTCGGCTTTCTCGCTGCCAGTTGTTTTGCCGCGCAGGTCTTTCATCATAATGGCATGTCGCAGACGAAGGCCTCATATTAGGACTTCTTAAAAATTGAGGTCCACTTGCATATCCCTAGACATTAAAACTCAGTACCAGCATGATGCCTCCCCTAATCTTTGGAAACTCCACATCCAGAAGCGACCGAAGCGATGTGTGGACGCTCTGAGTCATGGCCTCACGCTCCACCCTGCTGCTGGGTCAATGCATGGAAAGTGTCAAAGCGGCCACACAGCAGTAGGCACAGTCTTGGGAGGATTGTAGTGATGCTTGGTACATGTGGACTATTACCGGAAAGGTGAGACATTTTGTGGGATTCTGTTCCAGACAAAGTGCCCCTTTTTCTGGGTTGCTGTTAAGGAACTTAATTTTAGTTACCATAATGGGTATATATAGTAAAGAATGGGGTTTCCCCAATGTAGTAACTTAATTTAAGTTCCTTAACAGCAACCAGTTTTTTGTCCAAGTGTTTGAGTGTTTCCTGCATAGGATGCCCCACAAGGGAGCAAGTTCCGCATAGCAACCGTTTGTGTGTGTTGGGAAGGGAGAAAACATCATTGTGAGGAATTGCGCAGGGACTTCTCAACAACCAATTCATCAACTTCGGAGCCTGACTGAGGGGAGAGATACAACTGGCGAAGGCTTTCCTGTACGTGGGGATTGTCCTAAATTCCCTATAATACGGGGTCCTATATTTGGGTTCCCATTATAATACGGGGCCCTATATAAATTTCCCCCAATTTGGGAACAGTAATTTAGGGAAACTTCCGTGTGTTGACCTCACCTCATAGAGTCGAGGAGTGCATGGTTTCAAGAGCTAGATCATCAAGACACAGGTGCACCACGTCACAACACCAAAGGTCTATGGACAGAAGTTTCCTGTGGATTGTGGCTTGGATTTCAATGCAGACTCCTTCCTCTAATTTTGTACGCAAGCAGGTTTGGCCTTGACTCGTGGTCCAGACCACAGCAGGCAACAACAGGGGGTTTCCTAAAAGCAGGGGTACCTTCATGGGGGTCCCCATAAGAAGGGTGAAAGTCGTTTGAGGTCCATACCGAGGGTGCTTGATTTTGAGAAACTACCAGTCTTCAAGATTCAAACGCATGCTGCGTTGACCATTGACCCTGCTATCTTTGTGCCCACTCTTTGGCACGAACTGGTCGGCTCTCCTGTAGAGTGGGGAATAGTGGGGATGATCATGTCAGCTCCAGCAAGCATGACGCCCGACCCTCTTGCATTAATGTTTAGTGTTGCTTTCCTTATCCCAAGACGTATCCTTTCACCTGATAGATCATTCGACGTATGACAACTTGGATTTCTTGGCGGGCTTCAGTTTGGGTCGACTTTACATGCCACGTCCATATGCCCTCGTATAGCCCCTGTACATCCCTCTGTAACACCTTATACATCCCCACACATAACCCCCTTGACCTGAGCCATGCTCGCAGAATGTGGCTTCTGTGTCGGAGGCGCGCAGAAATGCAAGACGGATGATTAGAACAGGTGAGTACAGCATGTATGCCTCACGTATGCAGCCTGAGGTTCTAATAGACAAGGTGCTGTCTGTTTTGAAATTGACATTTCGGCTTCAGCGTGAAAGCTAGGTCTTCAGCTCAGTGGTTTTTGTACCTCTTCCCTTCTTTCAGCATGGGCTGCTCCGGATCGAAGGGCCGCGCCGCTCCGATGGCAGACACTCGCCCAGATCCTGAGAATGAGGCGCCAGCGGTGGACAGAGTCGAAGCAGTGGCATCGCCTGCCATGCAGGAAGTTTCAGCGGCCATTCCGGAGGAACATGACGCGCAGAAGGAGATCGAAGAGCAGACGGTGCCGGCAGAAGTCCAGTTTGTCGAAGACACACAGGAGGAAGAGACCCTAGCACAGCCTACCGCGGACAGCGCGGTGCAGCCAGAAACAGACACCCTCCCTGAGCTTGTGAAATCCTTGGACAGGGACACACAAGCCGACGATGGAGAGACGGTCACTACGGCCCCAAAGGAAGATGACTCCGTGGTACCTGGCACAGAGGACAAGCTTGAGGACGTGCGGGACTTCCCACTTTGCAACTTTTGCAGGGGCTGGTGAGACTTAAGAGTAGCCGCGTTGCTTGCTGCATCACGCTTCACATGAAAGCCCAAAAAAGCATTGGCAAGGATGTCAAGATGCTGCATAGAAGTCTAGGCTGGGTTGGGGAGAAGTGTAGGTACCCATTCTAGGTGCCAGTTGGCTTCCTGACATGCTAGTGGAGCATAAAGTCAGAATAGAGCTTCTCCAGTCCTTACTCAGCAGTATTGGAACTCCAGCTGTGCGATTAATTCAGAAGCCACCCGCCTTGTACAGCTTTCTCCTGGCGCGGTTGGCGTGTATAACATTTGGCACCCTGCCAACCCTGCAACAGAGAATCTCAACATTTTGATATCCAGACATAAGGTCTGGAGGTGACGTGCCACTTTGCATTACTGAAAAAGCATGCAAGCGCTGTGTTTTGGTTGGAGGTAGAACCCCTTTGCAAATGGGAGCACTCAATGGGTTGGAGCAGCGGTTTGGCACAAGGAGCTTAGGTTTCCCCAGGTAGGCATCCTTTGGTGGAACAGGGGTATTGCCAACTTCCTAACTGCTAACTTTTGTAGCCTTTTCCGAGAAATTCGCAAGATATCCATGCATCCTAGATTCTTCACGTCCGTTGGAGGACTGGTGGCCGGAACCCAAGAATCCTGAAATCTGCTTCTTGTGTGAAGTTCTTGAGAAGCAACCCGCAATAGTGGTTTCCATTTTAATTTCCATTATCCCAATATAACCCCAATATATCCCTTATCATAACCCCTATAAACTATAACCCCAATATATACCCCCAAAACAGGGTGGATTCATGCCTGACAGGCTGCCAAGGACGTTGCTCAGGCTGGCTGTAGGGTTTGGGGTTTAGTGTTTGGGGTTAGGGTACCCATTGGAGCAATATTGGGGGTTATATTGGGATGATGGAATAGAAAATGGAAACTACTATTCAGGGTTTAGGGTTTAGGGGGATTAATGTTGGTCCTCGTTCTGTTAAGGGATTGGACTTGCAAATCTACCACACGCACATTCCCAACAAAGGGCTTCCAGGCGTTTCTTTCGTGTATTCTATAGCTGTCGCTGAATGTTGTCTGAGTTGAAAGAAGTTGTGCCACTCGGGTCTGGTGCGGTGTGGATTTTGGGGTCTGAGCGATTGGGGGGTACAGCAGGGTACTGGGTGTTTGTGGTGTAGGGTAGTAGCAGGCACTATTCGTCACAAAATGCTGCTCATTTTACTAGGCAGGTGAGAATTCCCAAAGCGCCAACTTACTTCATCCCTTCCTCCTGAATCTTAACCTCGGTACATCTACTTGAGGGCCTCCTAGAGCACATGAAGTACGAGGAGGAGTGGGATTACGTAATTTCATCATTCAGGCTTCCATCAACACCCGCAGCACCTCTCTAGATTCCTTGGATTTCTGCGGCATGGCGTCCGTGCGGCTCTGCATGCATGATGCGGCAGTGCCACGAGCTTGCTCCTAAGGCGGGGAGCTTTGTTTTTTGTTGGTGGGTTGTCTCGGTGCTGCAAGCTAGGCCACGAATGTAGAATCGGGTAACGGTTGAGCTCCAAAACGACACTACCTGAGGCCAGGCTCATCGACTACAACAAGGCGATCAATGGCTGCAAGCGAAGCAGGGATTGGGAGGGGGCCCTGTTTTTGCTTGATACTTTGGAAGGGAAGCGCTTGGGGGCAGACGTCATCTCTTACACTGCAGCGATTGGCGCTTGCGAGACATCCGGGGAGTGGCAGCAGGGGCTGGCACTGTTGCATGAACTCGCGGCCAGGAATTTGCAGCCCAACATCATCACCTTTACAGCGGCGATCAGTGCTTGTGAGAAGTCAGGGAAGTGGGAGCAAGCATTGGCGCTGTTGGACGACGCGGGTCGGCGAAGGTTGCAAGTCGACCTGGTGCTCCTGAACACGGCTTTGAGCGCTTGCGCCAAGGGTAGCTGGCAAAGCTGCTTGTTCGCATCTAACGCTTTGCAAAGCTCCTTACCTGAGATTCCCTGACTGCACTGGTTACTCCTCAACAAGGAATCCTCACTGGCAGTTGCTCCCCTGATTCCCTTTTTTCAGGTGCACTGAGTCTGTTTGCCCGGGCAGAGCAGCAGTCCACCCAGACCGATCTGATTTCGCAAAACGCCTGCCTCAGTGCTTGTGCCAAGGCTGCCCAATGGCAGATGGCCTTGGAAGTCCTCGCAGATGCAGAGATCCGGCACCTCAGCCCTGATGTGATCACATTCAGTGCAGCCATTAGTGCTCTGGAGTCGGAGTGGGAGAGGGCTCTTAGCCTTCTTCGACTAGGCCAAGTGCGGCTGAAAGCTGTCAACGTGATCACCTACAATTCCACCATCACTGCTTTGGGGCTCTGCAGTGAATGGCGCCTTGCCTTGGAGTTGATGGGTGAGATGGCCTCCCTTGCTGTAGCAGCTACCACTATCACTTACAATGCTGCCATCACTGCATGTGAATCTTGGCCTGTGAACGGAAACAAAAAACTCCTTACAGGGGGGTTAGAAAGTGGAGTATATAGGGGAGTATTTTAGAGATTATTAAGGGGGATGCTGGGAGATTAGACTATAGCTCATGTGTCCCTTAGGTTCCTTGCTCTGCTCCTTTTGCCCATCCTGTCCTTTCGCACCTGTTTCAGCCTCACGTAGGAGCGAGCTTCCCAGTGGCAGCGTGCGTTCCAGATCTTTCTCCTTCTTTGCAACTCCAAGAAGGGCCCAGTCCGTCCGGATGTTGTGACATTGAATGCCGCTCTGGGCGCCATCTCGCATGCCTCGGAGTGGCAGCAGGCATCATGGCTCTGCAAGAATGTTCGAAAAGTATTCATCATTGTTCATCAGCCATGATGGTTTTGCTTTTGGAGTGCGGCTGCCTCAGGCGATCCAACTGTTGATTACTACGGAGGCGCGCAGTTTGCGGCCGGATGTGGTGAGCTTTAGCACGGCCATCAGCAGCTGCGAGCGAGCAGCTGTTTGGCAGCATTCCCTGCTTCTTGGTGAGAATGTGGGAACTTGCTGGCATTTTGTAGTTCCTGAACTTCGAAATTTCTAGCATTCGTGGTGTGTGATCACCCCGTGAAGTCATGGGCGTTTCTCGGAAGTAGGGTTATCTAGAGTTTCCTCGTAAGCCCACAACATCGGGGGTGCTTGCTAGTTACTGCAGGGATCCAAGACCCTATTCAAACCTGAAACCCCTGAATACCTAGTCTTGAACCTCAAAACCTCTACACCCCTAACTTGCTAAGCTGCACAACCTTGAAATCCTTGAGCCCAGAGCAACAAAAGCCTTCGAACGGGCTCTTACTGGGGGTTAGTAGGGAGTAAGGGAACATGATCCCTACATAATACCTATATAATATTTCCCAAATTCCCTAACTAACCCTAAGCTCTAAACCCTTCCATACATATATATACATCTATATCTGCGTATCTATATATATATATACATATATATATATATTCACTCCCTTATTCCGTACTAACCCCCAGTAAGTAGGCTTCTTCTCAGCGAGCTCCGGCACAAGCGCCTCACTGCGAACATCGTCACCTACAGCGCTGCAATCAGTGCATGCGAGAAGGCCCGGGAATACGGGTTTAGGGTTTAGGGCTTACGGTTTAGAGTTTAGGGTTTAGGGTTTAGGGTTTAGTGAATATATTCTAGGGTTTAGCGTGTAGGGTTTAGGATTCAGGGGGTTTATTTTGGTTACCCCAAATGTCCCCCCCCAAAGTTTTAACCCTAGTAGGCCTTATTAAGCTCCATATGGTCCTTATTAGCTCCTTAAACCCAGGGGGGGTACATTTCGGTTGTATTCTAACTCCTAATTTGGGGATATGTAAATATAGATATTATGAACATAGTCATATACACACATATATATATACAGGGAAGTATGGAAAGAAAGTGGACTATATATTGGGATATAATACCTACTGGGGTCAGTGGGGAATATGCGATTATATTTTCTGGGTTAGTAGGGAATATGGGAATACAGTATATACGGATAATATAGGGATCATAGTCCCTTATTCCCTACTAAGAACCAGCAAGCAGAAGCCTCGGGCAGCACTCTAAAAGTTTTTTTCTCAGCTGGGCCAAACCTTAAACCCTAAACCCTAAACTGTTGCACTCGCAGTTGAGAGCCGCGCGCAACAAACCCCCAGTTTGTATCTTATTTTACATATTCTTTTCCATTTGATTCTCCCAAGGTGCAATCCGTTTGCAGGAGGTTTGCCTGAAATGAAGCAAGGGTTCCCATCAAGATGTGCGGATTACACTCAGATGGGGTTTCCCAAAATTATCGGTACTTTTTTGGGAGGCCCTGCAGCAAGGATTGTAGCATTTTTGGGTCCACATTAGGGTCCCCCTATTTGGGGAAACTACCATATGGCTTCTACCCCGACTAACTTTTATAATTGCCAGGCTCCAGTATCAGAGGACCTCGTGTTGTTCAGGGTTCAGGGTATGGTTCCGAATTCTGATCCAGGAAAGTTGTGGAATGGAGTGTTTCAGTGGTTGGCATGTTGCTAAACTCAACCTAAACCCTAAACCGTACTGGAAGCATGATTCACCTTAAAGCCTCAAACCTTGAGCGCTGAGCCCTTGAAGTGTAATCGGATGCCGTAGTTCGTGGGTTTTGGTCTCCATGAGTTTCCTGGTGGTGGAGACATATGGGGGTTTCCCAAAATTATGGGTACCTTTTTGGGGGTCCCAATAATAAGGACTATAGTATATTTGGGTCTATATTGGGGTCCCCTTATTTTGGGAAACTACCATATCAAGAGCCACAAAGGGCGTTGAGCTGCATGCGGGCATTTTGTTTGGGATCCGCATAATCAAGACCAGACTCTTGTATGGTCGAGAGTACATAACAATCAGGTTTGGGTTTCCTAGGTTCGAGATGTTTTGAAGCCGCGCCGTGTTCCATTGTTTTTTTGAAATTTTCCTTTGTTGTGCGCGTGCCCGCCTTTGAACCGGGGGGGGAAGAGGTCTCACAGTGGCGTTCTGCACTGCTCTTGATGGCCGAGTTGGAGGAGCAGCGGCTGCAACCAAACGTAGTGACTGTGAGCGCTGCCGTCAGCGCCCTGGAGAAGGTGGCCATGTCTCAACAACAGGGGTCCTTTTCTTATATGAGCTATAGTCTAAACTCCTTAAAGGGGGTTGTATGGGGGATTATATGGGGGACTACTATAGGGGATATTAAGGGGGATACTAGGAGTTTAGACTATAGCTCATATAAGGTCTGTTGAGACATGATTCAGGTGTTGAGCCTGCTTTCATGCCGTGACAAAGGGATCACCACAAGGGGGTGCAAGAATAACAACGAACATGAGAGTGCAATGTATACGTTCTTCCCCTCACAATAAACCCGAAACCTGTGTTTGGAATCGGACTTGCGTCAGTTGTTTGACATCAAGGGCTCAGAAATTCAACAAGTAAGCTGAACCCTAAATCCCCATACCCTGACCTGCTGAGCCTTGAGCCCCGAACCTGCAATTCCTGAACCCTAAACCCAACATGGTAGTTTCCGAAAACAGGGGGGACGCTGCCAAGATACTACAATCCTTATTATAGACACCCCCACAAAGGGACCCCTTATAATCCCTGAACCCTAAACCCTATATCCCCTAAATATACCTACATAGCCCCCATTTTGCTTTAAAATTGGGAACCCCCAAATCGTAAACCCAACCCGCCTAAAGCCTAAACCCAACCCCCCTGAGGTCGCCCTCTGGCAGGAAGCTCTGGAGCTCCTTTCAGACTCAGAGTCCAACTCGGAGTCAAACATTGCCACTGGGGCTCAGCTTCAGCTTTATAGAGGGTTTAGGGTTTAGGGTCTAAACCCCTTAAAGGGGGCTATATAGGGGATTATATAGGGAAATACTGTAGGGCTTATGAAGGGGGATACTATAGGAGTTTAGACGTTTCGGGTTTGTTTTTGGGGTTGGAGGGTAGGGTTTGAAGCTTTTGGCTATAAGGTGCAGGGGTTCAGGCTGTAGTTTATGCTGTAGAGTATGATGTGTTGAGGGGTTTGAGATTTAGGGGAGAAGTTTTTGCTTCCAGCATTTTGGAGCATTTGGAAATATGATCATTTGGAAGCGCAGCAAATTAGTTTAGTGCACCGTGTACCTTGGATGGGCAGCAAGAGTTATGCTTGCACCAGCAGGTCACAGAATCTCTACTTATCTACGGGTTGAGGCTTTTAGGGTTTACGTTGTGGTTATATAGGGGTTATATAGGGGATAATGGAAGAGAAAATGGAATTTACTAGAATGTCACTACATGTCTCGGAAGCTGACGGCCTGAGCTCCCAATTCGTGATCTCCGCATCTGAAACCTCAATCCTGAAGCTTAAGCCCTCAACAATCGTCCCCACAGACTCAAACCCTTGAACCTAGAGTCCCCCTTGAGTAGATAGAAGATGGGGTATATGGGGGACTATATACCCTAGACCCTAAATAGTAGTTTCCATTTCCTTTTCCATTATCCCAAAATTACCCCAATATATCCCCCTTAAGGGGACTATAATCTACCTAAACCCAAACCCTCATCTCGAGCGCTCATTTTTTTCAAAGCTCCCAACCCTAAACCCCAAGCACTGCGCCCAACACCCTGAAGCGATCCGCACACCCCCTCATGGATATTCCCATCATGCTTCTGAAAGTAGGTTGAGAATAATTATTATCAAGGGTGGGGGTGTATTGTGAAGGGGGAAGGGCATTAATCATCGTAAATCCTAAACTGCACGCCGCTAAACCCCAAGAGCTAAACCCTAAACCCTAAGCCCTAAACCCCAAACTCTAAAACCCTTAGGTCACCTTCAGTGCGGCCGCCAGCGCCTGTGAAAAGGCCGCCGCATGGGAGGCGGCAGTGAGCCTTGTGGCCTCCTTGGCGCCACGAAGAGTGTCTGGAGAGAATCAGATGAGCCATACTCTAAACTGCTTATAGTGGCTTATGTAAGGGATTTATTCTCGGATTACCATGGGGGTTGTTAAGGGGGATGCTAGGAGTTTAGACTATGGCTCAGATGTAGGGGGGGAGAGTGGGCTTAGGGCGACCGGCAGTTGCATTGGGGGGTCGGGGAGTGTAAGGAGTTCAGGGTTGAGGGTTGAGGGTTTAAAGGGCCATGCTATCAGGTCTGGTATGATGTTTAGGGGAGTTATATCAAGGAGGTTGTTGAGTAGTTGATGGCAGCATTCGCTGAATGGCTAGAAGGTTTAGAACCACGGTCTGAGCACTCCCTTCCCCCTAATATTAAACCCCCTAAGATGAAATACGGATTCCCCAGAATGTCAAATTCTGAAATCTGCCCTCAAGACTACTTTTAAAAGGGCCAAGACTAAAGTTAATTACGGCTCGGACCCTCTGAGTTAAGGGGTCCGTGCATGACTCTTAGATATGAGGGGTTGCCTTGATTTCAAAGATTTTGATTATGTTTGAATGCTTTTTACATCGGAATTTCGACAAAATCTGAAGGTGATCTCAAATCGTTTTTACTGTGATTCTAATTGGTTTTAACTTCAGTTTAATTGGTTTGATTACGTATTTGAATTGGTTTTAAAAGGTCGTATCTGGATCTAGTTTGATTTAAATTCCTTCAGACATGGTTTTAACTCATTTTACCACGTTCTTTTTTCGATTTTGATTCTATTTAATCGGCTTTTTCTTTGATTTAATCGGTTTTCGGTCTGGTTTGGATTTCAACAGGAATTGCTATATACCCTCCCCTAGTTTTTTGGGTCACACGATAAATGCACACGCCCCCCCCAATACTAAATACAGTTCGGAGTACATACATTAGGGGAGAGGGGTAGCCCTTTAATATTATGCGGAAAGGAATAGATGCCAGATATCTTTCTGTAAGTTACGTCTCCTTTAGAGGGACTATGTAAGCTATAGTCTACAGAGAATTCCTTAAACGGGGTTTTCTAGGGGATTTTTCTAGGGGAGCAGTATAGGGGCTATTGAGGGGGATACTAGGAGTTTCGACTATAGTTCATGTGGACTATGTAGGGTTTGGTTCTGGGGAAATGAAAAATCCTTATGTGGGGCGGGCTGGCCTTAACGGTGTAAGGGACAAGGTTCACTCATAAATTAGATTCCCAACATGCGTTTTTATTTTAAGGTCGGGATATGAACGGACTTTTTTTTGTGGTTTGCTCCGTTTTGTGTTTCTTGTTTTTAGTTCTGAGTTCATTTTTGGGAGAGATCCTTTCTGATTTCGGTCTTGTGTTTCAGGACATACATGGATTTCTCGAATTTTTCGGATTTTGAAAGATTTCAACCCTAGCTTTATGTTGTTTGAGCAGGGATTTGAAAAGAATGAGCCATTCGCGTATAGCACAGGGCTTTATGCAAGCTCTACGTTATCCCCAAACCTCGGTCTGGGGTGTGAGGGGTTCATCTGAGTAGTATTTTATTTGGGGATACTATGGTACCCAATATAGAGTAAGATTATATCCTCCTTTTGGGGTATCGTATTTCATATAAGGAATATAATCGTGCTAGGTTCAACCACCAAAAAAAACACTACCCAATATAACCTTAATATAACCCCAATATATACCCCATTATGATATAGTAGCTTCCATTATCTTTTCCATTATCACTACATAACCCATTATAGTAGTTACAGTAGTTTCCATTATCGTTTCCATTATTGCCTATATAACCCCAGTATATACCCTATAATCCAGGTGCAGCCTGACAAGCTCATCTTCACGGCTGTGGCAGGTGCGTGTGTGACTGGGCTGCTGTGCAAACAACTTAAGCTCAGTCAGGGCAGGTTGAGGGTTTAGGGTTTTAAAGCAAAGTATGGATATACAGCCCTAAACTCTAAACCCTAAACCCTAAACCCTACAGCAAGCAATTTATCATTGCTTTCTTATCTTGTTATTTCAGCTGAAGTGCCTTCAAAGCAATTCAGGTGAAGGTCCTGGAGTGGGAACAGGCGCTGTGCGTGCTCAGAGAACCCAAGTCCGCAACGTAAGTCTTTCGGGTGTGGGGCTTAGGGGGTTTAGGGGTTCAGGGTTCAGGGGATAGGGGTACAGGGTTTAGGGGTTTGAGGTTTAGGGTTTAGGGTCCTGAAGAATCTCAGAACATGGAATGGTTTGGAACTTCTACGAGCAAGGTCTCGCCTCTGGGGTTTGGTGAGGTCAAGGCCTCCAACAGCCTAATGAAGGACCGCGTATCTTTTCCCAATACCCTGTGTGATATGCTGCTTCGAAATGGTTTCTTCTAAGGCGAAACATATAAATACCCTAGGCCTTCGACTGTAAAGTCCTGAGCCTTCAGCCCTACATCCGGAACATCATTGGGCGCAAATGCTATCCCTTCGGCTTTTAACTTTGTCCTCAAGTGGTGAACCTTAAGCTCTAAGCCCTAAATTCGAAATCCTACACCTAGATCCGAAACCCTAAACCCCCAATCCCTAAAAGCCTGAACCCCAAACCCTAAGCCTTAAATCCAACACCCGAAGCTCGAACCCTAAGCCCAAAATCTTACACCCTGACCCCTTCTGCAAGAGAGGAACTTCCACGCCGTGGTCTGCAAGTTGATTCAATCCTCATCTCTGCCGGTGTCGTCTCCTGCAGCCGCTTTGCCGGCAGTAGGGAAGCAATGAATGGAAAGGGAAGCTATTACCTTCCTGAGTTGGGTTTAGGCTTCGGGGTCAAGGGCTTGTTGGGTCCTAAACCCTAAGCCCTAGAACTCTAAACCATAGTGAAAGGAATGGAACATGGTGGGATTAGCATTTTCTGCTGGGACTACTACAGGGATTCATGTTTCCATTCCCTGCTCTGCACCGGTGAGGCAGAGGGCGGCTTCGGCAAAAGGCTGTTGCTGGGCCGCTGTGTGGGGAGTTTAGTTGATGTCTAGGTCCCTGTTTTGAAGCGATTTTCTCGATCATGCATGTGCTACTTGGGTAGGTTTTCGCGTTTAGGATCTGAGGTGTGGGCTTCGAAGATCGAATTTTGACGAACCCTGTAGCACCAGGAGCACGAGACGACTTTTCAACAGCACGATGAGGGACCTAGCATCATCCAGAGCACCATGTAAGACAGGATTGACGTTGCTTCCAATCTCCCCCCCCCACACGTTGCTTCCAATCCACACCCACCCCCCCCAAAGAAAAACGCCATAGACACCTGCATAGATCCCGTTCCAAAGGACGCTGGTCTTTGTTTTCTTTGTGTCCGAGGTTCCTTTTGGCGTAAGCCCTCAACCTCAATCCTTTCACCAATCCTGAACACGCGCTCCAGGTTGTCATGCTGGACCAGCTGGGTCCGCTCAGCATCCAGTCCATGACGTCGTTGTGCAGGGAAGGCTGAAGCAGATTTTTCCCAGGAAATATTCGAGTTTGTCAAAATCAGGAACCCTTTCTGGGAGGTCCTTCGACAAGGACGATACGGTTTTGGGGGCCATGGGGAGCTTCGAGATGTGCTCCTACCAGCGCACACCGCCATATCCCCATAGCAAAAAGATGCTTGCTTTTGTCGGCCCAGATCTGCTGACAGATTCCTTTCACAACTGTCGACCTGAGGGTTGCTGCTGTGATGCTATTACGTTCATTGTTTCCAGTCCAGCCTCCCTTCAGACTCCTCATGGGAATATGGGGGGTAATATAGGGATAATGGGGTTATATAGGGATAATGGAAAAGAAAATGGAAACTACATATAGTATATTGGTTGTGAAAGGTTATTTTCCTCTCGATGATTCGCTTGCCTGCACATGACTAGGCTCTGTAAATATAACCCCAATATACTGTATGTAGTTTCCATTTTCTTTTCCATTATCCCTATATAACCCCATTATCCCTATATTACCCCCCATATTCCCATAAGGGTACTCGAAACTTTGCGAAGCCTGGCCCTTTGGCGTCAGGCAGATCTGGCCGCATTGAAGGCCACGGAACCGGAGTTTCGCAAGAGCATAGGGTTCCCTTATGTGCCTGCCAAATCAAGTATCCTGTCAGAGAGACATGTGAGCAGGCAATTCATAAAACTCATAAACTGAACAAGTCCCGGGCTACGGACTTTTCGTCATCTGCCGGAATTGGCTGCATTTGCGGCCTTGTCAGGGTGGGTAGTGCTTTCTGGAGGTGGAGTGCAGGCATCGTTTGATTTGGGGTTTGTGGTTTGGGCTTTGGGGCTTTCAGCACTTAGCGCTTCAAGTCTCTTTAAGGCTTCATCCCAAGCATCCCGCAGCAGCTGCCAAGAGGTAAGCTCCAGCAAGAAAGGGCAGTAGTGGACCTGAGCTCAAGTCTGCTTAGGACTTGGGGTGCAGGGTCTGCATTGCAACCAGATCCGCTCTGAAAAAGACTTTCAGCAACTCTGAAGCATACGCACAGAATCCATTGACACGTACGTTGCTCAAAGTGATGCCATTGCGACCTTACACGGGGTGGTTTAGTGTGCATTTTCAAACGCTCTATAGCCATCAAAGCTTCAGTACGTGGCGGTTTTTTGTATGTATGTCCCCCAAAAGTAAGGGACACGTGGATGCCCCCAAACTGTCGGGACCCCAAGAGGGAACCCTAAACCTTAAACTCAAACCCCCAAGTCCTGAGCCCTGAGCCCTAAAGCTTTGGAACCCCCATGGCCTTCAGCACTATCAGACACTGGGACCGTTGATTTAGGGTTTAAGGGTTTAGGGTTTAGGGTGTCTCTTGCAGATGAATGCAAGCAACAGGCTTGAATCAGGAGCAGGGAAGAAGTCGTCCGTAAAGCTCTTCTCAACAATCGAGCCGCTTAATTGTATGCACTTGAAATCATAACCCTGTATAACCCTATATCACGCTACATCACTCCTATATTCTAGCAGATGGGTTGATGGGTGTTAGAAAGGCTTGACTGTCACCAAGGGCTGAGGATCGCAAGCATGCCAGGCTTTGCATGCCTACTCAGGCTTCGACCTACCGACATAGGTTGCGGAGCTGTAATCCTCCCAAAAAAGGCTTTGACATATAGTTTTCTCAGTGCCATGGAGCTAGTGGTGGCAAGGGGCCTGATCCTCAACGCTAAGCAGCTACTAAAACCTAGCCCCTCAACCCTCAACCCTCAGCCAAGCTGGCAACGTCGTTTGGCTGGCTGCATTTGGGCTTTCAGCTTTTGCATGTTTTGACTGGTTCGAAGGTTAGGTAAGCCGTCAGCACATGGTAGTTAGTACTTTGTCTCTTTCACAAGCTTTGCGCAATCTTCCTGCGACTTGTGCCATGGTAGAAGCCAGGGACGAGACGCTTAAGAGCGTACTGGCTCAGATTGAGAAGCTGCTTGTGGGGCTGGTTACGGACTGTGAGAGGACTACAAAGGCGGACCTCCTGAGACATGGAAGCTCGGAGGTCCTGGCCGCAGCCCCTTCCGATCCCTACTCAATTCTGTCAACAAAAGATTCTATGCCAGCCAGACCGCATGCTCCAAGCAGTCCGCTTACAGAACCGCCGCCGCTCTGTGCGGAACCAGACAGCCCCTTGTGGAAGGCAGTCTCGAAGGAAGACTCTGCGCGCCGGGTCGTCTCAAGGGAGGATTCTGTCTGCAAGGGAGACGGCCACGCCAAGAAGTCCCTTCGCTCCGTGAATATTGTGGATGAGATGTTGCTTCGTTCTGCTGTATCAAACTTTTATTCTGTAAATCTTCTTTACAGGGATTATAGGGTTTATATTTGGGTTATATAGGGATAATGGATAAGAAAATGGAAGCTAGTATAATGAGTGGCAGGGAGAGTCAGCCAAGGTATGAGCTAGATCCCTCTTTCAGCGAGGTTTCCGAAGAAATCTTTGAGATCAATGAGGGCTGGGCGAAGATGGTGGAAACTCCCATGAACAAGCCCCTAGGTCTTTATCCTAGGGTTTAGGGATCAGGGTTTAAGGTAAGAAGTTACCAAGCACTCGGGGAGATGGTGTCTAAACGGGAATCCTACAAACTTAAAACCCCAACTGTAAATCCATTCATGTCGAGTCTTGTTCCAGTGCTGCTTTATGATTTAGAAGTGCTGACTCCAGAGTTCAAACATCTTAAAACAAGTGTATGCAAGTGATACATGGATCCACAGCTTCCTTCGTAGATGCAAGGGTATCCGGTCACCCTACTACCGAGCAGTTACTACCGAGTCTCAGGGTATGGGGAAGATCGGTTCTACTCTTATAAATCCTCCTGCACCAACAATTTAGACAACTGGTCAAGATCCCGAGTACACCGAAAACGGACCCGCTACATCATGTTGTGTTCTCTTCCTGATTTAGGGATAGGGTCAAGTACACGAAGGGTCTACGTAGAGAACACCTCCAGAGATAGGGGCTAGAAATGGTGAAGATTGGAAGTAACAGGAACCGATTGTCCGTAACAGTGGAGTGTAATAGGAACCGGCCCCAATTCCGCAACCGCAACCGGCCGGTTTCCGTAACAGGGCCGCTGGGCCCTGCGTAACGGGAACCAGCCGGGGCGTCGGAACCCCCAGACATGTGTTGAGAATGGCTAAAACTTTATCTTCGGACTCCGCCAAAGGGGGACCGATGTTCGGTCCCCCTTCCAGGTGCATTTTGTCGGGCATTTCCAGCTTCCTACCAACCTTAAACCAAGCCACAGCCCCAAGTATCAATTTATCATTCTGAAACAAGGGCAGACATGAGAACTTCAGGGTTTAGGATTTAAGGTTTAGGGTTTTCGGATCCAAGTTTTTGGGTTTAGAAAAGATAACTCTATAAAATGGCGACCAACATATTGTAGTCCCTACTTGGGCTGGGGGCCCGCGATTTTGAATCACTTGGAAAGTCAAGTGGACTTAGCAAGTGTACTCATAGCGGCTAAAAAGCATATAGCAGCTTCTGTTAGCTGTTATTCCTATAATAGAGAAGTCCCCTTGATCCAGAACTTAAAACCATAAACCCGGACCCTTAGCCTTAGACCTCAAACCCTGACCATCCTTGACCTTGGAGGGTGAAGATCTAAAGCTCTGGCTTGGAGTTGAGTGTTTAGGGTTTGCAGGGTTTAGGTACTAATCACCATCAGACCTTGGAGTCGTAGGAGTAGTAGTAGGGGTATTTGTAGCCCACAAAAACATATAGCAACCTTTGTTATCCCCATAATGAATGAATCCCCTTGATCCAGCACCCTAAACCCTGACCTTTGGAGGGTGCAGATCCAAGGCTCTGGCATGGAGCTTAGGGTTTAGGGGTGTTAAAGTGTAGGTTCAGGATTTAAGAAGGAGTGTAGAAGTGGTACTAGTGCCAGTACGAGCAGAAAAATGACTAGAACGAGGTACGTGCAAGTTGCAAAAAAATTGTCCTGGAGAGGGACAGATTTTCGGTCCCCCACTTTTCGAGATTTGGGCTCAGGGATTTAGGTTCCGGTTTCGGTTTCGGCTGCTTGGCGGCCTGGTTTCGGTTGCGGTTTGGCTGCGGTTTTCTGTTCGGTCCCGGCTGTCTCTCGTTACGAGTCCAGAGACAACTGGTTCCCATTACGGCCAAAATGGTTCCCGTTACTCCCCGCACCCTAGAAATGGTGAGGGCAGAAGCAATTGTAGTATTCAACAGCTATTTTGATCAACCCGCCCAAGAAGGATGTAGACATCTGCTCGGTTCAAAAAATTTTCACACAAGGACACCAAGTTTTGTTTGCAACCAGGACATTGCGCCGATGTGCTGCACCAATTTACTTCCCAGACATGTGCAAAAACTGAGTTGCGCATGGCAGCCATAAAATACTTTAATCCACCATGTCCCAACTTCAGGCATTGAAACCTGTTGAGCGGAGAATGTCTTGACTGTAGGAAAGGGGATTCAGATTTGGGTTCAAAGATGGGGTTTTAGCGATTATGGGTTGAATTTCCAATCCTGAACTCTCAATCCTTCACCCCCGGAAACCTTGATCCCTAAACCTACGCGCTTAGGAGGACCCTTAAACCCGAGACCCTAAACCATGAACTGAACCCGAATGATCAGGTTTGCCCGGCGGGCATCCTTCGCTTTAACGACGCAGAACACTGTGGCTTACAAGTGGTTAGTAGGGAAGGGAGGAGTCCCTAAGCCCTAAACCCTGAACAACACAAACTACCAGGTTGTGTTAGGACTTAACACAGGAGGAATGAGGCAGCGGATTCTTATGGTTGTTATTCCCAGCCCTGAATATTTATATGAATTAAAGTGAAAACTCTTTAAAGGAGGTTTTTTATGATTATTTGGAAGAGTATTATGGGGCTTGTTAAGAGGGATATTAGGAGTTTAGACTATAGCTCATATAGCCCATTAGTAATGATGCTTGTAATCCAATCCTTCATTCCCTACTGATTGGTAGCAAGGTGGGTGTCCTGACTCCGGCAGTTGTTCCCGCCAGC